GACAGTGTTTTTTTTAATGTAAGAAAACAGGTTCCAAGATGCACTCATCTGTACAACTCTGCCAAGTGTCACACAGGCCTGGAGTGAGCAGGGGCTGGTGTTCCTTCCGTTCGATGCCCGGAAGCAGAAACCGGTGGCCTCTGTGGGGTGTCCTGCCCAGCGTGCCGCCTCCCCCCTCCCCAGTGGCTGCCCCAGGAGGATCTGATGAAACTGCTCCCTCATCCATGGTGCTCTCGGCCCCTCACTCCCCGGCAGAGCCCCTTTGTGCTGAGCTCGCTGGGACGTGCGCTCAGGATGCTGGCTTCTAGGCTTCTCTTTGAGAAATAAATGCGAGCTCCTGGATTCCCTCGTTCCGGAGGCTGCTCCGCGATTCTTTTCACGGTTGTGATCGCTCCCTAGCGGCTGGGCTCTTGGGAGGCCCAGGCTGGGTGGCAAATAGGCGTCTCTGAACCCCAGAACCACATGCGGCGAGGCCGCCCCATCAGACCTGTGCCTCTCACATCACTCGGGGAGCCTGGGCCTGCGTGAGACGTGTGAGGAAGTGCCTCAGCTATTGAAAGGGTCACTCCTCTCCCTCTCGAGTGGATAGAGTTCCATCTCCAGGTTACATGAGCTGATGGAACTTCCTTGTACTCAGAGGCTCTCAGCCCCAGGCTCTCCCCCCCCCGCCCCCCGGCCCCCTTCGGCCCCCTAAGATCGCGTGGCTAAGCTTCCCCGGCATCACTGCACAGCCCCAGGCAGAGGTGGGCGCTCTCGTAGGGAGTGTGATGTCCATCAGCTGTCGGCAGTTAGACAGACATGAGCTGAGCAAGGACGCTGGGCAGGTCCAGAAGGTCACCAGGTGGGAAGCCCAGGTGCCTAGCAATGGACAATCCGCCGTAGGGGAGGATCCTGCCCCCAGGTGACTTTTCCTCCCCTGGCATATCGCAGGTCACGAGGTGTGGACCCCCTGGCCTTTCCTCCAGAGATGAACATCTAGGCCTCAGCTCCATTTCAGCTCCAGGCCCTGGGAAGCAACAAAACCCGTCACTGCTGGCGGCAGGACCAGCTGCTTTGGATAATGACCCCCTGCCCTGGTGCCGCCAATCGATCGGTGGCGACCACAACCCTGAACAAACACACCCGGAAAGCTGCCGAATATCCTATTGAGATCTTCCCCTGGGGTTGCAGGTTTGCTCCCCAGCCCTGTCCGGGCACGTGCGGGAGGTAACCAGTCGATGTGTCTCTCGCACATCAATGTTCCTCTACTCCCTTCTTTCTCCCTCCCTTCCACTCTCTCTAAAAATCAATTGAAAGAATATCCTCGGGTGAGGATTAACAAAAAAAATAAAGGTTCAGAAACACATTCTCTGTTGAGCGACGCGCGGATAGGGAAGAACATGGTCGAACGGTGAACTCAGACCTGGGCAGTGGGGGTGTGAAGAATGGGGGTGAAAAGGAAGAGAGAAGCAACTATTAAGCAGATTTAGGAGGACAGAGATAATGTTTAAATCCATTTTTCTTTAGGAATAAAAAGATTATTTTTAAAAAAAGTCATTCCTGCTCCAGCTTTTCAGAATTTCCACAAAGGATGTCGCAGAGGTGCACGTCCAGCCACTTGCAGGCAGACTTGTCTACCGTTTACAAAAACATGAACAAAACCCCTGAACTACACTTTCCAGCCTCAAACCCTCTGTTGTCTTTGGAATCTCTGGCGAGTCGGGGGCCCTGGGAAAGGGGGGGCCCTGGCAGCTGGGCCGGTGGCTCAGCCCCGATGCTCGGTCCTTGTCCAGGCCACGCCCGGGCGCCACGAAAGGGCCTCTCTGGATCGACAAGGACTTGGTGCGAAGACCCACCGAGTCTGCCTCATTTTTACTGTGTTTCTCCCCGCTCCTTGTGGTGCGGTTTGGGTTCCCTTGGTGGGACTGGCATACAGAGGCCTTTAGCAGCAGTGTAGGCAGTGAGGACATTGGCCGGGAGCGCTGGTGAGCTCCGTGCCAACCTACTTCCAGTTAAAGTGGGACCGGGCAGCCCTAGCTGCTTTGGCTCAGTGGATAGAGCGTCAGCCTGCGGACTCAAGGGTCCCAGGTTCGATTCGGCTAATGGCATGTACCTTGGTTGCGGGGACATCCCCAGTAGGGGGTGTGCAAGAGGCAGCTGATCGATGTTTCTAACTCTCTATCCCTCTCCCTTCCTCTCTGTAAAAAATCAATAAAATATATTTTAAAAAAAAGTGGGACTGGGCAGCTGAGCAACTGGAAATGGCAAAGGGGTGAATGTGGAAGGTCTTGGCCGCTGCTGAGAGGTGCCTGGGGCACCCGTCCACTGTGGCAGGGGGTGCCGGATCCACAGGGCGGTGCGGAGGGAGTGACCCCACCTGCCCCCGTATCTGCAGCCGGGGCCAAGGCCGGGCAGCCCGTCCTGCTGGGGACCACACTGCTCCCAGGCCCAGCGTCAGCCAGGTGCCAAATCTATTCCTGCAGATACAGAGGGTGTTCCTGGCACACAGACCGCCATCCGCACAGCCCCTGGGCATTTCAGCACACATCCTGCCATTCCTGCCCGGTGCGGGCCAAACAGCCGATGCCAAGCCGCGGTGGCTGGAGGAGTTTCGGGAAAACCCAGGAAGCGGCTCAGACCTGCCAGGGGCCTCACACTGTCCAAACCCGCCCTGTCCTGGAGCTAGAGCTCTGGGGGGTGGGGGGGGAGTTCCAACTGGGTCTTTGTTAATCCATGGGGACGAGCTGGAAACAAAGGAGCCAACAGACCACATGGGGGAGGTCAAGGCCACTGGAGCTGCTGGTGGCTTCAGGGTGCGGTTGAGGGGGCCTGGCCTCAGAGGCCTCAAACCCAACCTCCGAGGGCTTAGGCACATGGGAGTGGACGTCCCAGGAGAACCTGGGGCTGGGGGGAGGGTCTGAGACTGTGGACCAGGAATGCCAGAGCCGGGCAGAAAGACAGACAGCGATGAGCAGACAGACAAGGAGCAGACACCACACCCCACCTCCCCCCCAGTGAAGAGAGGAGAACCAGCTGTGTGCTCACAGCGCGGGGCTCATTCAGGCCTCACTGCAGCCACCTGCCCTCCGGAGCTCAAGCCGAAATTCCACCCCCACCTCCTGCCTCTCCTCTCTCCTTCCTTCAGTTTCCATTTGCTTACATGTTAAAGAAAAACGTTTAATTTTGACATAACTGTAGGTTCACAGCAAGTGGCAGAGACAGTGAGAGGGGCCCCTGCACCCTTCACCCAGGATCCCCACCCCCGCCACCCCTCCCCCGGCTGCAGCTCAGGTCACCGCAGAGCAGCACCGCAGCCGGACACTGACCCGGGCCTCATGGGTGTGGGCGGCTTTGTGCGATTTTTAAAATATACATTTTTTCACTGATTTCAGAGAAGGAAGGGAGAGAGAGAAACATCAATGAAAAGAGAGCATCACCGACCGGCTGCCTCCTGCGTGCCCCACGTTGGGGACCAAGCTCGCAACCCGGGCCTGTGCCCTGACCGGGAATCAAATGGTGACCTCCCGGCCCATAGGTGGACGCGCAACCACCGAGCCACGCCGGCTGGGTTTGGTGCCATTTCTATACGTGTGTGCATCTGTGTAGCCACCACGGCAGCCAAGATACACACTGTTCCACCATCACAAAGACTCTCCCGTGCCAGCCTTCGTCCCCCAGCCCCCGGCAGCCTCTCTGTTGCCGATCTGTAATGCGACATTCTGAGAAAGAAGCCCGACTCCCTTCCGACCCCAACAGGTTGTTGTCTGTGTCAATCCCCCCCCCCCCTTTGCTGGGTTGAACTCCAGGACCCCGAAGGCACCACAGTCACTAACCACTCTCCCGCCTTCCGGTCTGACACGTCCCTGGCCTCTCCAATGACCAAACTGTGTATGTGTGTCTTCCACACCTTTCGGCCAGGTGAGCGCAGACCTTTGCCGCTCTCGTTCCCTCCTGTACCTCCAGGGCCAGGGACAGTGCCTGGCCCACAGGAAGGGCTCAGCAAACACTTGTGGAGAGAGCGGTTTCCCAGAGGAAGAGATTTGGGTTTGGGGAAGTCGGTGGCGGAGCCTGGTCTCGCCCCGCTCCCTTGGCTCCCAGCCCACCGCACCCCCGCGCCGCCCGCTTTCTCCTCTCCGGCCAAGCGTGGGCAAAGCGCTCTCGTGTCTGTGTTTCCCTTGGCTGGAGGGACGCCGGCCGGGGTTTTCAAATGAAACTTTACTGACAGCCCGCAAAGCCCAAAGGGAAATAAACAAGGGAAACACGAGGACTTGTAAAATGTTGAACTTGTGAAACAGATTTTCTTTTCTTTCTCAGCACGTGGTGTTAGGCACGAGTGGGGTCCCAAAGATGGAAAGGGAGACACCCACACAGAATGCTTGGTGCCCAGTGAAGCATGATAGGGTGCGTGACACTACTTTTAAGTTGTAAAAAATGTATTTTTATTGATTTCAGAGAAGACGAGAGAGGGAGAGAGATAGAAACATGTGCCGCGCCAGCACGGCCAAGGGTGAGCCTGAGAGGGGGCGGCTGAAAGGCTTAGGAAAGACAGACAAGAGAATGAAAGCCGGATCTCGGTGGGACACTGCTTCTCTGAGAGACAGCGACCACGCCCACAGCCGTGTCTTTATTTTATAGCAGACGCCACGAGGCAAAGTAAGGGCGTGGTCAAGATGTTTACAACATTCTCGCGGGTTTCGATCCTACTCCACTACATGCACCTGAACTCTATCGAGCCCACATCACTCAGGCACGTGGGGCCACGTGTTCGGACCATAGGTTCAAGCTCACAACTACAGCTGTTGGCTATAATTGTGCTGAGAGGGCCCTGCCCTCCAAGCTGGGACCTGCACGTGGCCATGAGAGGACTGTGCCCTCTCCTTAGTCCAAGGCAGTGGTTCTCAACCTTGGCTGCACATTAGAATCACCTGGGAAATCTTATTAAAAGCCCGGCCTCCGTTTCCAGGCGCCGTAACTTTCAGGGCAGTCCTTGAACATGGCCGGCAGGACCTGAGAAAAAGCGCCATACAGCCTCTAAAAAGAGAAGGGGGAGAAAGACGCTCTGTGCATACCTATCCGATGCGTGAAACGAGAGATTTGATCTAAAGGGGCAAAAAAGCGGGGGGTAGGATGGATTAAGACGCGAATCATATCTTCAATTGGCTATAAACGCAGGACCTACCTACTTTCAGAC